AATAAAATCATACTTTTATAAAGTAATATTTCAACTTATATTGTAGTACTTCTTTTTCTTTCTTTTATATTTGCTGGGTTCTAAATTTCCATTTTATTACTTTTCTCAAAATTTTATACTTTAACATTTTGTGGCCAGCCCATCTTTTTCATGATTTATAACTTTTATCATGGTGTTTTATGTACCACTTTTTTTCTTTAATCGAATTTCGGTTTTCATTTCTTCTTTAAATATACCATTTTTTTTTTTTCCAATTGTTAGAAAAAAGTTGAGCTCAACAGTTACTACTTATAAACGTTGAGCTTTGCTAGAATTGGTCCACACTATTTGTGTAGCATAAATGTAGGTTTTTTGTTAGTTAGAAAATTACATTTTTTTTTATACAAAAAAATGCATATTTGTAATATGAAATGTGATTTTTTTGTTTTGTTTGAACTATATTTTTAAATATAATATTATAAAATTATGTATATTTGTTGAAATTAGAGTATATATATATATATACCTGTCTCAATCATTAGACAACTTGAGCACAAAAGCAAAGATTCAAATTGAATATACACAAAAAAAAATGTTGCTTCTTGATTTTAATGGTAAATTGTTTGAACAAATCAATTTTGACTCAAGATCATACCTATTGAATTAAAATTTTTAATATCATTGTTAAATGATGCACTTCTCAAAATTTGTTGGATAGTATTGTCTAGAGTTTGACAAAATAGAAGAAAAGAACACAACAGGGAAATCGGTCATCTGATCTGATGCCGAGAGAGAGATGTCCTAGTTGTGTATATATATATAAAAGATTAGGGTTTACAAAGTATTACTTATCCTCTAAAAAACTAAGACCAAAAGAGTAAATACATAAGATATAATGACACTAACAGAGTTTTTACAAGCAGATTAAAAACTCAATCATTTTATTTTTTTTTTTTTTGTTGTATATATTTTAGTCATTAATGATTTAAATTTCAATAAAAAGTCATATGGCTCCTAAAATCAAATGTTGTTATTGGTAAATATATCATTCAAGAAAATATGCAATTAACTCATTTTGGTTTCACAAGTGATTTTTTTTAATTAAATGGGACAATATAACAAAATGGAAGAATATAGTGTAATTTGTATATTAAAAGTATTGACCAAAAAATTGCATTTTCTTTGCAAGAAATAAAAATATGAACACATATATGAACTAACAATAGACCCACATAAATTCACATAAATTCATGTAGCTTTCTTGTACGAAACTTAAAAATCTTTTATTATACTTGGTTGGATTGTACTTAAATAGTTTAAATTTGGTACCCAAAAGGTAGTTAGCTATTTACAGATGATAATATAATTAAAATCTTATTGTTGACTGCTGAAAAAATTATAAATAAAAATATTTGATAAACTTATCTCAAAAATATTAATTTATAAAAGAAATAAGTAAAACAAAAATATTTAAAAATAAAAGAAGGAAAAAAGGAGTAGAAAAATGTTTTTACTATTAATCCAACCAAAAATAATTGTGCTGAGATTTTAATTTCATTAATTTATATATATTTTGCATTCTTATGGACTTAAAATGGACATTTTCATATGCTGAATTTTGTGTATTGTATATGATATGTAAGAAATGGGGTCGAGAAATGGGGGGAAAACGAGTGCGGTCCCACGCACGTGAAGCGCACCATAAACAGAGAAAACCCAAATGAAGTCCAAGTGAATTTCATCGAAAAATCAATTGATAGAAAGAGGAGTATGCCAGTAGAATTATAAATTAGGCATATTTTATCTATCTATATAAACGATGTGAGACAACTCACAAGTAAATATTCTAATACGATATATCACAAGTAGTTTTAATTTATATTCATCAAAATAATTTTTATATATACTTTGGAGTGAGGTGAGGTGTGGGGGACATTGAGGAAAAAGCATGAAGAAGACATGAAAATTAAATGCAGGTGGTTATAAGTGACTAAAAGACAACAATTTACATTGAAAAAAAGAAAAAAAAAAAAATGCATACAAGAGACTAGAAAATTAATTCACAATTAAAAAGTATTTAGAAAAATAAAATAAAAATAATAAGTTAAAAAAAAAAAGCGTGGTTATGAACAGTAAAGTGTTGGGGCCCAATGCCCATCGACTTTTATTTCAATCTCAAAATTGGAAATAATAAATAAAAAAACAAAAGGAAAAATCAGTAATTTAGTACTCTTCCCATTTTTAATATATGTCGTTTTGAAAAGTTGCACACTAATTAAGAATATTTTTTTTGTTAATAACCTTATTTAATAATGAAAATTGAGGTGAATGTTTTGAGAAAAAAATGAAGAATGAATATGAAAAGACGTAATGTATTTATTAATTAAATGAAGATAATAATAGAAAAATATGTATAAAAATCTAAAACAACATTTGTATTTTTATCAATTAAGTGCGTACATTCAAGCAATGTTTTAAAAACCGTACCGGTCGTCATACCGGTGTAGCGACCGGTATGCGGTATTACCGGTACGACCGGTATTACCGTCTATTTTACCGGTTTTAATAAATATTAAATTAATTTGTTATTATTATATAAATAATATACAAAACTAACTTTAATTAATATTAAAATAAATTAACATCTAATAACAATATAAACATATTAAAGTTAAGTGTAGAAATTTCAATTTATATAAATAAAATAATAAAAATCTATTAAAAATATTTTTTTTAAAAAAAAAAATGGCATAAACCGGTATTTTGACCGGTATTTTGGCCGGTATTTACCGGTAAAACCGGTATTTTCCGGTACGAAACCGGTATTTTGGCCAAAACGGTATTTTGAGTGTAAATGTACCGGTCGGACCACCGGTATCCGGTATTACCGGTAATACCGGCCGGTACGAACCGGTATTTAAAACATGGCATTCAAGTGTTCAACACCCCTTTTAATAAAATAAAGTAAATTTGCACTCATTTTCTCTCCCATTTTCCTAATTTTTTTCTTAATTATTACTTCCTCTTATTTTTTTAAACGTAATTTTAGCTTTATCAATAATTAGCTAAAAAAATTTGTGTGATGCAGTTTAATGTTTAGTCGGATCGGACATACTCTTCGAATTTCATATTTGTGTTATAACATAATCCCTCTTATTTTTAATAAATGTGGTTTTGAGAAGTTGCACGATAATTAACAATATTTCTTTTACCATAACAACCTTCATTAATGAAGATAAAGATGGATGTTTTGAAAAAAGATGAAAAATCGTAGTGTAGTTATTAGGTAGATGAGTGTAATAATAGAAAAATATGTACAAAAAATCCAAAACTTTATTTATTTAGTTAATTGTTGATAAAAAGACATTTAAATAAAATATAGGAGGTAGTAAAAGTTAAGTTCATTTTGATTTCTGACAATAAAAACTCAATTGCATAAGAACATGGGCGGATTTACTCTTAGGCAAGCATGGACAATTGTCCAGGCTGAATTTTTGCTGCTAAAGGTATATTACTATTTTAATACAAATTTTGGGTGAAAAAAAAAGCAAAAATGGAGTTTGTACGACTAGAGAAGAAGATGGACTTGAAAGGTGTTTTTCTTTTTCTTTTTTTTTTTAATCAGGCTTTTAAAACGACGTCGTTTTTTTGGATTTCATTTAATTAAAAGTTAGAAGCCAAATGACGTCGTTTTTTGGATTTCATTTAATTAAAAGTTAGAAGCCAAACGACGTCGTTTTATAATAAAAGGTAAAAAAAAAAATTAAATACATGTTTTCTCCACAGTCCACACGCATGCAGGTACAGACAAGGCAAAGGGAAAAAAAACTCCTCAACTCACAAGTCATTAGATCACCAATTTCTTTTGGGAAAAAAATCCATTAATTCCAAAATTGCTCGTTCGAACTCTACCCATCTGCCATCTCTCATCTAATCGTCTATTCATCTTCCATCTTTATACTTCTAGTGTAAGTATGTTCAACTATTCATATCATTTTTTTTTTAAAATAAAAACTTAAATTCATATTTTTGTTTTTTTTGTATTATATTATGTTTGTTTTTCTCTTGTAATTTCGTCTCGGTCGAGTGGACCTCTCGGTAATTTGTGGTGCGTACTGCATAGAACTCGAGTATGGTATACAGTTTATGCAAGAAATTGATTTTTTTTTTTTTCAATTATCCATTGAGATTGTTTACTCTAAAATTCTACTCTTCAATTATTTTCACATCTTATTTCATTTTATATAAATTAGACATCAAAACAGGAATGCTAAATTCCAAAACTGCTGAGTAAAATAATTATCAGAATTCAGAGTGATAAATCATGTGGGGCCCACATCTTGCTGGCCTCTCCTTTTTCCTTTTATTTTTTTTTTATTTTCTTCCCATCCTTTTCTCAAACACAATCAGTTCATCAGTCTTTAAATTATGCACCAAAACTATCTTTTTTCTTTCACTCCCTCTCTCTTACCTCACTCTCTCTCTCTCTCTCTCTCTCTCCACAAGAAGAACTTGTTCAACTCTCTGCTTATTGAATCTTGATGATCAATAATGCATTGCAAGGCTCATGAAAATTAGCTTTTGATTTTGTTGAACAAATAAAGTTCTGCTTCCTTTTTTTTTTCTTATTCCAAATTGGAAAAAAAAAAAAAAGATTAAAAAGATTGCAACTTTTCTGTTTACTTGTCAGTATTCTGAAATGGAGGCTCATGAAATTTAGCAGGGTTTTCTTTTGTGGGTCTCAGTGAAAGTGTGAATCTTTTTTCAGCAGCAGCTGCAGCAGCAGCAAAGCCATTCATTCATGGAGTTAGCTTAGCTTAACCACTTGTTCAAAGGTTTGATTTTTCTCACAAAAATAATCCTCTTTCATCTCTCTCTCTCTCTCTCTCTCTCTCTCTCTCTCTCTGGGTCTTTGGTTTGTTCAGCTGTTTCTTGTTTGGATTGCAGGTTTACTTTGCACTCTAAATCAATCACTAATGCTGAGGAACAGATCTAGAGCAGTCACAACCAAACAAGCCCTTATGGCTGATCAACAAAACTCACTCCCATCCCCAAACAAGAACCCTCCTTCTTCACCAATCTCATCTTTCTTGAATTCTCCAAGGTTTTTCAATGGCTTTCTTTCCAAGAACCAGTTTTTTTCAGACACAGAAACTAATAATAATAATAATAACAATAATGCCCTCATCATGAGCCCCACCTCAACACTTGACACCACCAAAAACAACCTCAGTTTTGTGAACCCATTTGGCCATGACAAGATTTTGTCCCAAATCCAAATCCCAATCCCAGCTGCCAAACAGGACACCACTAATAATAAGGCCACTGGCCTTGCCCTGATTGACTCAATCATACATGAAAAAAATGAAAATGGTGATGAGTTTTATGGTGGTGGTGGATCAAGAATTTTGTCCAAGCCAGTTAGCAGAGCAGCCTTGTATGGATCAAAAAACCAGCTCAAGGTTCAAATTCCTCACATAAACCCCACATCTTCTTCGCTCGAGCCTTCGCCGCAATCTCCGGCTGAATTCGGAATCAAGACGAAGAATTCGAAGATTTCGAGCCCTTTTCTCGAAAGCAACCCAGTTAATAAGGACTTTACTAGGCAGCTTTCTTTGAAAGAAATGGAGCTCTCTGAGGATTACACTTGTGTTATCTATCATGGCCCTAATCCTAAAACAACTCACATATTTGATGATTGTGTTGTGGATGATAGCTGTTTGGGGGATCATTCAGAAGATTCTTCTGATCAGTGTAAGGCAAAAATGGATCATTCAGAAGATTCATCACCTGATTTCTTGAGTTTTTGTCACACTTGCAAGGATATATTAGAACAGGGAAAAGACATCTACATTTACAGGTTAGAACCCTTTTTATTTTATTTTATTTTATTTTAATTTCCCTTAATATTTTACTACATAAGCTCAGCAAATTGTGTATAATCAGTAGTTTAATCATGATTGTACCATACAGGAAAAAAA